TGGGGAAAGCCAAGTATGCCTATAAAGAAAAACATGTGTTGCCAGTGTTAACCAAACAGCTTGTCAGAGCCCCAGTGGTAAACAGAGAGTAGATAACACTCCTCACCTCACACCTCTAGTAGCTTAATCCTTTCTAAACTCTTCCCTGACTCTTTTTATATATTGCTGTAAAAAAAGCTGACCTAATTAAGGACACTTGAAAAGTAGGTGGGAACTAGGAGTTAGTGTGTCAGATAGATATACATTCCTTCTCCCTCAACATCTCTTCACTTTAACAATTTACATAGCCTGAACTTCATTTTTTCTTAGATTCCACCTTAATCAAGTTATTCACTTACCCCATTTTCATAAGTGATTTGAGAACCAAATCAGAATTAACATGGAAATAAAACTATTACTCTTTGTTAGATGCTGTAAGGACCATGCTATTTTATCTTAGAACAATTGTTTGCTGTATTAAAAAAAATTGTTAACACATTTCTCTCCTTTACTATCAGTCATTCAAGGTGTGACTCATTTTCTCTACCCTAAGGCATTGACAATGTAGGTATTTATGATAATCATGCTCACATCCTTTTACAAAGAGATACAGTACAAGGGTACTTGACAATAAGAGTTATTTAGACTGTCTATAGGTACATTTACCATGTGCCTTTTCCTGCGCAAGAATTAATAGTTGAGTGGTTTTACCCTGTATTCATAGGCAGCATGCCATGTTTCTCCTCTTCTCCGAGTTGTTGACTTCCTTCCTTTCAATGACCAAGTCTACAAGGTAGATTGGATTTTGAGGGAGAGGAGTAGAAGGAAGAATTATAAATGAATAAATAGACAATACAGGTTGAGGAAGAGATTAACTGTGTGTCTATTTGTATTATCAATGATTACAAGGATTACTTATTAAGGTAAGGACAACCAGGTGATCAGGCCCAGTCAACATGTGTTTATCAAAGGCTGGTCTTGCTTGATTAACCTGATCTCCTTCTATGACAAAGTGAACCACTTGGGGGATGAGGAAAATGTTGTGAATGTTGTTTACCTGGACTTTAGTAAAGCCTTTGACACCGTTTCCCACAGCATTCTCCTGGAGAAACTGGCTGCTCATGGCTTGGACGGGTGTACTCTTCATTGGGTAAAAAACCAGGCTGGATGGTCAGGCCCAGCATGGTTGTGAGTGGAGTTCAATCCAGTTGGCGACTGGTCACAAGTGGTGTTCCCCAGGGCTCAGTACTGAGGCCAGTTCTGTTTAATGTCTTTATCCATGACACGGACGACTGCACCCTTAGTAAGTTTGCAGATGACACTAAATTGGGTGGGGGTGTTGATCTGCTCGAGGGTAGGAAGGCTCTGCAGAGGGACCTGGACAGGATGGATCAATGGGCCTAAGCCAATTGTAAGAGGTTCAACAAGGCCAAGTGCCAGGTCTTGTACTTGGGTCACAACAACCCCATGCAGTGCTACAGGCTTGGGGATGAGTGGTTGGAAAGCTGCCTGGCGGAAAAGGACCTGGAGGTGCTGGTCAACAGCTGGCTGAACATGAGCCAGCAGTGTGCCCAGATGGCCAAGGCGGCCAACAGCATCCTGGCCTGTATCAGCAATAGCGTGGCCAGCAGGAGTAGGGAGGTGATTGTGCCCCTGTGCTCAGCACTGGTGAAGTTGCACCTCGAATGCTGTGTGCAGTTTTGGGCCTATCACTACAAGAAGGACATCAAAGTGCTGGAGCATGTCCACAGAAGGGCGACGAAGCTGGTGAAGGGTCTGGAGAACAGGTCTTGTGAGGAGCAGCTGAGGGAACTGGGGTTGTTTAGCCTGGAGAAGAGGAGGCTGAGGGGAGACCTGATCGCTCCCTACAACTACCTGAAAGGAGGTTGTAGCAAGGTGGGGGTCTGTCTCTTCTCTCAGGTCACAAGTGAAAGGACAAAAGGAAATGTCCTCAAGTTGCGCCAGGGGAGGTTTAGATTGGATGTTATGAAGAATTTCTTTACTGAAAAGGGTTGTTAAGCACTGGAACAGGCTGCCCAGGGAAGTGGTTGCATCACCATCCCTGGTGGTATTTAAAAGACATTTAGGTGTGGTGCTTAGGGACATGGCTTAGTGGTGGACTTGGCAGTGCTGGGTTAACACTTGGACTTGATAATCTTAAAGGTTTTTTCCAACCTAAATGATTCTGTGATTAACAAATTCTTCAGGGAGATCTTTAGTGTCTTGCTGAAATGAATGTTACCAGGAAAGTTGTTTTCATAGACAAGTTAGCAGCAAGAAAGAGACAACATGTTCAAAGGATTTACTCGTAAGTAAGCAGAACTGATTCCATTATAACTAGATTAACGGGGGGCAATGTCAAGGTGGAAGATTGTTGAACGTCTCCTGACATGTTAGATAGTTTGGGAAGAAGTTTGAGGGAATGCTGAAGAAGAGACCAGTGGAGATCCAGAAATTATTTACAGTCTTCATTTGGACATGGTACACGGTCTATGCCATTGGTGAGAAATAATCCTTCAGAATCTTTTGAGGGGAGGGAGAATGCTGGAATTTATTTATACTCTCAGTCTATGTCAGAAATTATAGAATGGCTTAGTAGTGAGGCATTTGTTGCATAAGGAACAGCAAATTGCCCTTATCGGGGTAAGTACGCTGGAGAATGCTGGGCAATAGGACACTGTAGTATTCAACACCCTGACAAGAATCTGCAGTAAGAAAGACTTTCTAGACATAAACCCCATTTTTCTTCTGAGAGCTCTTTTTTGAGCTGGGAAGTAAGATCTCTTATGCCCTGTAGAAAGATGTGGTAGAATAATGGTCCTTAAAGCAGAATTGTCCTAGGGCACTCAACCCTTCCTTTAGTTCAAGCATTATAATCTAAATGTGTATAAATTGAATATGGTGAACAACACATTTTTGGAGGTGTCCCTGCTTGTCCTTTTGGCTTTGTGACTAAAAATTACATGATGGTAGCACAATAGTAGTCATACGGTTGCTGTGGTCTTCTGAAAGGAAAGTCTAAAAGGAAAGCAATTGTGAGCAGCAGCATAGTTATTTAAGCATTTATGGTGGATATGGAAAAAAAGATCCATTATCATTAAAGTGCTTACTTTCCTTATAGCCCTTTTCAACCAAAAGTGAGGTATTTAGCAATTATTACACAAACTTTTGCATAAATTTCAAGAAAGAGCAAAGAAATAATTTAGAAATGTGGCAGAAATAGGGAAAAAAAGATTGTTTTGGAAAGTTTTTGCATTTGACATGAATTTCTGAAATAGATTTTAAACTATATGGCCAAAATTTTCAAAACTGATTTTCAGATGTCCGTGGTAAAACATTTATGCTTCTTGTCTGATTTTCAAGAAGAGCTAAATTTATCTAGTAAATCTAGAAATGATACAAGTTGGGGAAACAACACAATCATTACTAATGCAATCATTAGAAATTGTATCATCAAAAATTAAAAGGCCTAGTTTTAAAAAGAAATTACTAAATTCCAGAATTTAGTAAAATAATGCTTTTACTTGAATCTTCAGATTATAATGTTAAAGAATATCTATTCTATTCTTGCAATTGCAAGTATAAATTATTTATATTACAGTGCAGACACTTAGCATTACTCATGGACAAGAACCTTATTAAATCAAGGAATACATTAATAGGAAATAAAGAAACTTTCTAGTCAAATTGGTCTTCCATCTAAGACAGAAACAAAAGAAAACAGGTAAGTGATTCAAGAGGGGTACAATAAGACTGCATCAATCAACATTCTGGAGAGTGTTATTAGCACATTGAGGAGACTAACTGCCTATCAGTTAGGCTGTGTGTGTATAATTATGTACATGTAGGTAAAATGGATCATATGTATAAATCTCAGGGAATCAGAAATTGCTACGACGGAAGTGTGGAAGATCAATTAATCAGGCCAGTTTTAAACTTAATACCAAAACTTTACTGCATAGATATTCATTAACAACATACATTGCTAATGGTTAGTTCTTAATAATAATTATGAATCACTATTACTACATATTCAAAGCAGTTAGTCCTCAGTTAGTCATCTTAAATTAGTAACTAATATACAATATCACAGAGCTGATGCCGTGTAATTTGCACCGATGGTTACAGTCCTAGAGAGTCTGAGTCATCAGGGCAATCAAGTTCAAGAGCTCTTCAATGAAGGAAGCTAACACTAAAAAGAATGTCTTCCTTCCCCCTCCTCCAAGCCCAAATGAAAGATTTTCACCTTTTATAAAATATTGCACTTTAGAAAGTTCTCTTCCCTTGACCTCTGACCCCTGAGACTTCAGGAGACTTGCAGATACCACTTCCCTGGGCTGCAGCAGGTGCCTTACCTTGCCCATCATTTGGGGTTTTTTTCTTATCTGCTGCTTCTTCACAGAGTTATACTCAAAGTACCCTTTTCCCAGCTCTTAAGGTTGCACCTCTTCAATGATGAGTAACTGACCATCAGTGAGGTACTTAGAGTTCTGGGACATTTGTTTTCAGACTGCGCCCATATTTTCAAGATCATTGCTGTCATCCCAGGCTAAAACTCCACAACATAACAAGAGACATCCAGCATCGAGCTCCAGCTGCCCTGCAAGTTCTTGTAACAAGTTGGTAGCAAGCTGAATAGGCCAGGCACAGAGCACAGTACACATGCATGGTGAGGATAAGACTTGAGGTTGTTTCTGGCAATATCAAAACTATTTTCACTGAGCATGAATATGTTTACAGGTTGTTTACCAGACATGCCTGAATAGTGTCATTTTGACAGAGTTCAAAGCAAGCTAACATTGATTACATTTGGCTTAGCATGCTTCCACTTGTATGAGCACAGTAGGCCTCTGTTTTGGCCACATATTGGATTGGTTTGAATAATGAAAACTAGTAGCGAGAACCTGGTACATATTTACTTAGTATTTCTTGGTTTTGTAGGAGTTATGAAAGGAAGGAGGAAAACCAAAAGTGTCAAGACTGACTACTGATACTGAAATAATTACAGTGACAAAAATAGCAGTATTGAAATAATTACAGTGACAATTCAGAAATAAGTACTGCCTTTAATTTACATGTTGCACGACCCACTTTGAACATTGACCAGAGAATAGTAGGTGCCTTTTTCAGCCAGGAGCTGCTGATGGGTCCCTTGCTCTATGACCTTGCCATTCTGGATCACGGCAATCTTGTCAGCATTTTGGATGGTGGAGAGGCGGTGAGCTATCACGATACAGGTGCGACCTTCTCTGGCTTTATCCAGCGCTTCCTGGACGATCTGTGCAATGAACAAACCAAAAGGTGAACTATTCTGGCAGCTGTCATGAGACACACCTCAACTGCCATCTGTGAAGTAAACTGTAATATGACAGTGAGGGAAAGGGAGTATCTGTGGCTTTAGCTTCCTGTTTTAGAATCAGCCTGTGTTGGCAAAGAGTCAAAACTGTCGTAGCGGATGGTACCATGATAGCTAAGAGGATGAGATGGACCCAGGCTTGTTACTGAGATGCGTGCTAGGAGAACAAGAGAAAATGGTCATAAATTGTAACAGGGAATGTTCTGACTGGATATGAGGAAAATACTCACTGCAAAGATAATTAAGCATTGGAATAGGGACAAAAGGGAGCTTGCTGAATTTCCTTGGAGATTTTCAAGGACCCTACTGGACACAGCACTAAGCAATCTAGTCTGGATTAACTATGGGCTCTTGTTTGAAGAGGAGGTTTGATTAGAGGTCTCCAGAAGTCCCTTCCATTAATTATATATTGGAGTTAAGTCAGTAATCTTGGGTCAACTGCTGTCATACTAGTTCTCATGATTTCTCAGGGAGTCTCATGCTTCATGTTTTTCTTAAAGCTAGCACTGGCAGAAAAATACTAATAAGAATCTCTGCTTTCTTTTCCTTATTCCTTATGTCAACTGATGCAGGATAAAATTAGAGATTAATTTTCTGTGCCTAACCGGCACATAATTGAGGAAACAAACCATTCTGGAATTATTTTATGGCATTTTCCCCTCAAACCTTATGTTTTTATGCCTAGAATTGATCAAAACTTAGTCCATAGGGTTTGAGCTTTTCAGATTATGATATTCATTGTAATATTTACCTCATTAATAGTACATCTTTTTGTAGAACCTGTGCTGGTTTTCTACAGCCAGATTGTCCTTCTGTTATACCAAGATTACAGCTTTGGGCTTAAAAAAGAAACAAATGTTCTAGCAATTTTTTTTGCTGGAAGTTTGCATATTAGCCATAAACATATAGCAAGGACTGGAGAGCAATGGGAGAAGCAAGAAAAATTATGAAAGCAAGATTTGTCAGTTTCCGAGAAAAAAGTTCTCTGGCAGCACCCTCAATCTTTCCAGCTTCTGAAGTTTGTGCCTCCTGATTCAATTTTGATAGCGCATTTCCAATTGAAGCCTGAAGAATTCCAGGGAAAGAGACGCCTTCTGCATTGCTACTTCAATATGCCTACTGCCATACAAACCCCAAAAAAAAAAAAAAGGTTTTTTGGCAAGGAGGAGTAAGATCTTTATGTTTATCTATTATTAGCATAAATATGTAATTTGCACAAAACACCGTATTTCCAGTTTTGGGCTTTAATCTATGGGAGTAAAAACTGTAATTATAATACAAACAAACATGGATTTAGATTCTGGACTTTTGGCTCACAATCAAGTTACCTTTTCACTTTCTGTATCCAGTGCAGATGTAGCTTCATCCAGTAGAAGAATTTGGGGCTGACGTACAAGAGCTCGGGCAATAGCAATGCGTTGTTTCTGACCACCAGAAAGCTGAGTTCCTTTGTCCCCTACACAGGTATTGTATTTCTAGAAACAGTATATTAAATTCAGATTATGAACGCAAATTGATTCTGAAGTATATTTGAACATATTGACCTGACACAATCCATCCATAAACTGCATATTCCATACCAATAAACATCTGAAAACAGATGACCAGAATTGCTATCTGCCACACATCTATAGATCCTTCGCCGAGAGACTTCTTTGTAGCATCAAGCACTTCATAAATTCAAAGCAACAACACCTCTAAGGTTGGAAAGAATTATTCTCAATCAAGAGATAGAACACCAAAGCTCAGTGAAAGTCTGTGACAATACTGGGGATCAAACCCTGACCTTAAACACTCCAAGCTAGCATCCTAACCAATCAGTTATTCCAACTCACATTTGTTCATTCTGAAAAAAAAATTAGCAATGTGTAAGATGTATTAGTTTCAGGCCAAATTATATACTATGTCTATATATAGACATAGACATTTATACACTTTATCTATATCTATACCTATACTACAGTTTTGGATAGTTATGCTTTTAATTTAGCTATGTCAGTTAAAGCAGACCAGTCAGGTCTCCAGATAAACTCATTTGTAGGTCACGGTAGTCTTTCAGGTATTATGTATTTTGTTGCAGAAAACACCGAAGTTTTAAGAGACATCATTATATAACACAAGATTTCTCTACAAAGTTTTGGAAAGAAACTAAACATGATCTGCAAAAATTGTGGGCTTTATCCCTCGTATTTTTCTCAAGAAATGCGAAAAGCGGCTTAACAGCCTGAAATTAAGCTGGATATATACAACATACAACTAAGCTGGCAACCTCCTTGCTCCAGGAAGTTTTGGACACAAGTTAACATAGGTTAGAAATTTATTTGTCAAACCCACAGAAGAAAATTCCATCCAGAACTGAATAATAAAATATGATTTCTGTCTTAGGAAGTTCTCGAGTCACAAATTATGCAATTAGAGGAGAATTCATAGGAGATGTGATTAAATGTTTAATCTTTTTGAATACTTATTTGTAAATACATCTTGCTGGTCATTGCCTGGGAGAAGACTTAGTGCATGGCAGAACTTGCATCTGACCCAAGATGTTCATTCTTACATTATTACGTGTTGGTCATATATATATATATGACAAGCTTTCTTAGTAATTTTTTAACCATAGGAATACTAGAAATTGAAATTCTGACTAGGTACAAGTGGAAGAAATGCATAAGAAACTTGTCAGTCTAGCAAAGTCTTTTACATATGCTTGAGATAAATAGGAGCTTAAAAAGAAACTTTCAGCTCCCTTAAAAAAAACACTGCACACTTCCAGCTCTCAATTAGTTCTAATTGTGGATTTTCTTCCCTGATATATTAAATGTTCAGCTCTCCACCTAACAATGGAGTTCCCCAGAGTAAAAATAAGTATGGTAAACACAATGAAGAAAGTACAAGATTTAAAAGTCAGTTTCAGACCTATTTGCATCTCAGGGAATTATTGTACCCCAGGGAATCACAAACAGACAGAATTTTTCCCCATCACAGTAGGTCACCTCCAGTCCTGAGCAGGAGAGAAAAGGAATAACTTACATCTGGCAGAGAGTCAATGAAGGAATGAATATTGGCTTCTTTTGCTGCACTGATGATCTCCTCATGTGACACCTCCCGACTGTTATCTCCATATGCAATGTTTTCAGCAATAGTGCAGTCAAACAGGATTGGTTCTTGCGAGACGATACCAATCTGAGCTCTCAGCCACTGGATATTTAGTGTCTTTGCATTTTTGCCATCAAAAAGCTGAGAAACCAAACATTTAAATTTCAGTCACATGGCTATATGTGTAGTTGAGACTTACTGTAAATTCACACACAGAGGTTGGGCAATTGCTTCTCTTTCCTTAGAGATAGCACATTGAAAGCTCAGATGATCCCTTCCCCTCCTTCTCCTCTATGTTCCAAAATTTTCTAAGGGCTATTATACAAAAGTAAGGACAGTCCCTTCTGCTGCCTCAGTCCTTTTCTTTGCTTCAAGATTTAACCAGGATTTTGAAGACAATGGAAGATAGGATATGCTGAGGCAACTTCAAAGAACTTGGGTAGAGTTCTTTCATTTCTTCCTTTGGTGGTAAAACTTCCTGCTATTTTGCATATATATTCCCACTGCAGGAACAAGTTGGCAGTAGTATTCCATTAAAATAAAGGAAGAGTTGGGTTCATTCATTCACACACTACTAAGCCAAGCATCCAATCTTAAAATTAATTGTGATGTAATGCCTGACAATGGACAAATTTACTTCTGGATTCCTTAAGACGTCATTTGCAGCCAGTTTTCTTTATTAGCAACTCTGTCATGCTTCTGCTAAATTTGGCTAGGGAGTTGCTATTGTTGTCTATTAGATAAATGACAACAGAATTTTTTTTCTGGATAGATCAGTTTCATAATTATGCATCATACGTCGACTTGTACACAAATATACCAGAACATTAAGAGGGCTGTGACATCTCCACTAGAATCACCCAGTGCAGTGCTTAGGCTCTGTGTTGAGTGACATGATCAGCTGCACAAGTGAAGAACTGTCCCCTTCATAGCGTGGCTACTGGACAGGATTAATCTACTCATTCCACGGTTTGTGCTAGACAAGACAATTTGCAGTGAATAGAATTGTTTTTCAAAGCAAAGAGATCATACTGAACCTGATTGAAAAGCCACTGAAATCAGTGGCAGCATTTCTACATCTGCAGATATAAAGGGGTTAAAAAAAAGCTAGAAGGGAGAAATTGCTTTCAACTACACAGGTATTTGCCATCTTTACCAGGGAGTATACTGATAGGACAAGGGGTAATGGTTTCAAACTGAAGGAGGGGAGATTTAGATTAAATATTAGGAAGAAATTCTTTACTGTGAGGGTGGTGAGACACTGGAAGAGGTTTCCCAGAGCAGCTGTGGCTGCCCCCCACCCCCGGCACTGTTCACAGCCAGGTTGGATGGGGCTTGGAGCAACCTGGTCTAGTGGGAGGTGTCCCTGCCCATGGCAGGGGGATTGGAACGAGATGATCCTTAAGGTCCCTTCCAACCCAAACTATGGATACAAGGTCAAAAACATTGGTGATGAAGTTGCACTTGGATAAACATACTTTTGGGGCACATATGCTACTGCTTTCTACACATCGGTTTGCTGCACTAGACCCGTATGGGCACTTCCAACCTCAAAAAAATCTTGTCCATCTCATCTAGGCCTTATTTAAGTATTGCTTTATCTTTTGTGAGTATCTCTGCAGAGACAAGTTCTGAAATCCTTCTTCCTCGCACCTCATCCAATCCAAGATATGTGGGTTCTTTTTCAAACAAAGTCTCCAAGCACATTAATATGAAAGAGAAAATGGCAATAAACAATACAGTATATGAAAAAAAATACATAAAGTTGCTGAATAAGTAATGTGGGAAACCTTAGATGTATTTTGGAACAAAATTACTAAAAGTATTTACAATCTGTTGCTTGGTAAGTGGGCACACTGTGAAAGATGATTCTAACAAGTTAAGTTTATGGTAAAAATTAATTTTGGCAATGTTCACTGTTTTAGGAAAAAAATAGATAGCAAATTCTATTACTACATTATACAGAAGTAGATACGTACGTTTAATAACTTTTAAGGTGTTCTTAACATAAAAACCTGAGGAAATTTGCTCTGAATTCAAAGTCATCATTAGGCTGTGGATCAGGCATATTTTTACATGGATCTTGTTTCATTGATTCGTTATATTCATTGCATTTGAATACGGAACCCTGATGAGCCACTGCTTGTCTTTAACATCAAAAATATTTAAAGAATAAAACTAGAAATATCTTCTATACTTTATTAAATCAGATAAAACCAAATAAGCACACCCACACTTAACAAGTTGACATGTTATTATAAAAATACTTACCATTTCTCCATCAAGTGGATCATAAAATCTCTCAAGCAGCTGAACAACGGTGCTCTTTCCACAGCCACTGCTACCAACAAGAGCCAGAGTTTGTCCCTTTTCTACTTTTAGATTCAAACCTTGGAGGATTTTGACCTGTGGTCGGTTTGGGTAGTTAAATGCTACATCTTTGATTGTTACGCTTCCCCCAAATGTTTCCTACAATGGAAACAGTATCACATCTTTAAGACAATTTGACAGATGATTCCAATAGAATTGCAGACTTCTCCCCCCGAAATCAACAGTTTTACATTTGCTGGAATGCTGACTTTAATTTTATGATCTGAATCTTTATGAAACTATAAAATCAAAATATAGTACTGAACTATTTAGAAATTGCTCATAATTCTGCGGATTGAATTCCACACAAATTGTACCTTAACCTGATTTTCAAAACAAATAAACTTTAGACAGTGTGGGCAAAAGCTGGACTGACAATAGAGAACTTGTTTCATGTTGTGTTTGGATAAAATGTTGAGAATACCTTGAGATATGGAAGTAATCAGGAGAGGAAAAGTCCATTTAAAGGAAGTGTCAAGAGTACTGTCCATATTGTCAATAAACAATTTCGCCCATTATACGTGGCTTACTTACAGGCTTCTCTCCTTCCTCGCTGTAACTATCTATTGAGGGTACTTTTTCAAACAGCAGAAACAAGTGGGCTGCTGATATCTTGGCTTTGGCATAGTCTGGAGCAAAAGAGCTGCTTTGTCCTAATGCCATTGCACCAAATACAACAGCTGAAAACACTCTGTAAAAGAAATCATGAAAAGAAAAATAAATAGACAAGGAAGAAAATTACAATGGAAATGGGGCCGCAGTCAACTTTTTCTTTTACTTGGAGAAAAAAGGAGGCTAAATTTCAAAAGAATATAGTAGTAACCAACTAGTACTGCTTTAATTACTCATTTAGCTCCAGAAATTTGTTTTTATCCTCTTTTAATGAGGTGAGATAAACTAGTCTTCATTCCCACACCAAATTCAATGTTTTTGTTACTTATTAGCACTGATTACTTTAATTATTGATACTAGTTAACTATATTAAGTCTCAACTAGGGCTAGGAGGAAAGTGGTCAATGAATGGTAAAATTGTTGCTCTGTTCTACTACTGCTGTGGTTTCCTCTCTACAGTTCAATGAGCTCTGGGAGTTAGTGATTCATTTTCAAGTCATCAATGAAAATAAGAAATCAAGCCTGTAACAAAGTGACATTAAAAATTTAATTTGCTGTCACAGCTCTGCTGGAAAAAAAATTTGAAGTGTTCAAAACACCAAAAAAAGGTTAAAAACTATGTGCTATTGTTTTATGGTGAATGTAGATGTATCTTTACAGGCTACATTAGAATGGTGTAAGAACCTGCTGTCCTCAGCTACTAATTACTGCCACACAACATAGGATTACTCATCACTGAAAAATAGTAATTGACCTATGAGACCTCTTAGCTTGTTTTAAGGCAAAGTAAAATAAATTCATTTATATTAGTTTCTATCTTTTCTCTTCAGAGACATATAAACTAATCTTTTTAATCAAACTAATCAAACTAATCATTTGAATGGCCTTGAAGGGCTCACACAGTTTTAGGTCAGACTATCCCTTCCAAGTCTAACTAAGCCACTGGAAATTCACTCACCCAGCTGGCTAGAGATGTTCAGCTAGCAGATGGGATGCAGACACTTCCAAACATCTTCCAGTCAAAATGAGCTATGTTAAGTCTCTTTAATTAAGTTGTCAACAAAAAATTTGTATGATTGGCCTTTCTTAGGTATTGAGGTCACTGATATCCATACTGGTAGAATCTCATTCTTTTCATACTTGTTTCCATAAGCCTATATTGAGGTATTGCCTCTTAAATTATAAATTAAAATTTCTTCTGAGTTTATATGGGATCTAGAAGAATGGGGCTTTGGTAAGATAGGGGGTCTTAGGTATTATGACAAATTATTGGATAATCAGTACTCTACATACAGTTCTCACATTCATGGTTTCACTTCCCACACAGAATTGCTTCATTTAAGTGAACAAGCTTCTTATCAGAATGTCATCTAAAACTATGTAGTTATCCTTCCCTCATAGTGAACGGCATCTACCTTATGGAATCCTGTTCTCCAATTATTTAACATGAACTTTAGGGAAGATTTCAAATTTCAATGAATAAACCTAACATGAAAATAACAAAGATGCCGACGACCTATTCTTAAAAAGATTTTTACAATATTATTATGCTTCAATAAACAGATACAACTATGTTTTTTGTAGAATATATGGAGAACCTCACAGCTACATGACCAAGAAAATTGGTGAGAATAAATGAAGTGATTTAAGTAGGATACTGTTTCAACCTCTGGAAAACATAGTAGTCCCAAATAAACACAGAAGAGGAAATCCAAAATCAGTCCTGTCTGAGCTGTTAGGACTCTATAGTCACTTGGGGTATCCACTTTGTAATATGCTTTCATTGTATTTAAGTACAGAAAAAGAATTTGCCTTTTTTTCTCATAGCTTACTCAATGGATTCATGATCTCTCTGGCAGTAAACAAAGACCATTGTCTGGACTGACAGAATGAAGATTGCAAAGGAGGCACTTACAAAAACACACTTTTATATTGCATGTATCCATTTACCACTAGATAGGCACCAAACCGGAAACAGCCAGCATAGGTAAAGAACATCATTGCTTGTGAAAGAGCAAAACAAAATCCAAATATATGTGCCTTCTTCACAGAATTTCTGTAAGAAAGAATGCATATTTTCATAAAAATGTGCTATCGTACTTAAGTCCTACTATGCAAAAACCAATTAGTTGACTTCAGATGGTACTGTTATGAATGGGAAGTGTACTCATGCTTAAACAAGACTGTGTCCGAAAGATAGTTTTGTTTCCAGAATTTATTTCCAAGAACAGCTTGGAATATGGGTGCAGAAAAAGGTGACAACTTAGCTGCTATGTATAATTATTGTCTTATTTTCTCATAGTTTGAGTGTTAAAACACTTTACATTTCAGTCCATGATTACCACTGTGAAGATGTAAATAACACGTTTGAAATTGTACTACTGCATCACATAAGAGGAAAAAAAGGAGCAGAACTGTTAGCTCACCTTCAGCCAAAGCCAAATTTTTGTGTCATTTTTTTCTTTACTTGGAATTTCATGTTAACCAAATAACAAAGATATTAAACAGTTCAATAGTATACACTTGAGTATCTGTTTCTTTTCAAATTTAGTCATTCAAAATTCCTCTCTCGAATAAGATTAAGCCTGTGACTATGAGGCAGAAATTAGATTTTGGATGATAAAACTATGCCTATAACTAAAAGCAAGGCAGAGAGAAAATTTTCTGTAACTATGGATGATACCAGAAAAAAAAGAAAGAAAGTATTCTAATTTTATTGATGCTATTACTAAGTCACAACTGTGTTGTTCTTCCTGGGAAAAAATCCAAACCAAAACAAACAGGAGCCAGATTCACAAGTGTGAGGTTTTTTGATTAAGAGGCTGTTGTGACTTCTCTTATACATAGCTGATTTGGCCTATGCTCAATTTTTAGAAAATAGAAACTCTTTGCCTAATCAGTGGTTTTACATGCACTGAAACATTAACTGAAAAACCCATGTCCTATCTCTTCCAGTCAAATTGACCCATAGGGCAGCAAGTTCTTATTTACACTAGAAAAACATTAACCTGCAAGTCTCAGAAATCACATCAATGTTGACTCTGAGAATGGTTAGGCGCTGTCCTGCAAGTTGTGAGATACAGACCTAAAACCTAGCAGCCTGAGAAAAAAGCTGAATAATATTTTTTACATTCTGCACTGTGCTCTAACCACTCGATTATTAGGGTGGGTGTATTAGCAGCACTCCTACTTGTCTTCCACCATATCTGTGTACACATGCTGTCATTTCCTTTACTTTTCTCATGGATGTCAGAAAATGAAACATTTCATTCTAGAACAAAGAAAACTTAAATTGACAGTGTCTTTTTAATTTTTCACTTTAAGACGTTTTAATTTTGATGTAGTCCAGGCAGATTTATATTCTTTTCTTTTTTCAGTCACAAACCAGTAAGTTATTATTCAAATATTTTCAATCCCATTCATACTTTCAAAAATGGCTTAATGCAATATTTGATTTACTTTAAAAGTTTTTAATTAAATATCTGAAACACTTCAGGTGGGAGGTTAGATTAGATGACTTTCAAAGCTCACTTAAAACTGTTTCTCCAAACCAAGTGACATTGCAATAGAAGATACCAGTATTATCACAGAAAATTAAGTAAATCGAAGACGAACATGTTGGTTGATGGTTGCATTTCTTAATAAAAATACGCAAAATATTTACATTAATTCTGAGGTAATTAAATTATACATTAAATCATGCACACTAACAAAAAAAAAATCAATATTTGTCCAAGTAAATGTTTGTAAATTATTCTACAATTTAAATATTTTTTTTTTTTAGCTTAGTTATTTTTATTATACCTGTATGGTACATGCAAATGTTCTCCATACATCAACTCAAATTTTCTTTCTCGGGTCAAACTAACAACAGTTCTAATATTTTCTATGGCTTCTGTGGCAATCTGCAATAGAAACACAAACGCTTTAATCAAAAGTTAGGATTATGTTGCAATTCCTCATTCTAAACTAATAAAAAGAGTCTACTGAAACATAATTTTTTTTAAAATAATTGTTATTAAATCATAGACCTTTGCTAGAATACATGAGCATTTTACATTTTTCTTTTTATGACAGTGAGATTTTCTGGTGATGCTCAGAATTTTCTGATAAGACTTCTTTAATGTCCTCCAAATAAGTACTGAAAAACCATTAGACAGCAGTGACAAATACGGAGAAGATATTCAATAAGAAAAATGGCAATTTAGCATTCAACTTCCAGTCCACTGAGTTTGGGATATAACCAGAACGTCCAGGTTACTTATGTGCCTAGAGCCTAACTTAGGTCTCAGCAGTGTCTGATCAGTAATACCTTCTCTAAGCTTGCAGATCCTTTAGACTTGAGTCTAAGTCATTTGCATACAAAGGTACCTAGTAACATTTGAAGGCAGTAGACGCATGCCTACTTGGGAGCAACTGACTCAAGGCTTTGATGAAGTCTGTTAAGTCTAAGAAGGTGCCCATAAAGTCTTCTCAATGACCACAGAGGGAGGCTAGGAGCCTGTATGGTCAATGAGTCCATATGTGTGTAGAAGAGAATGGTGGTTAGAAATGGCCAACAGAAGACACCTGAACAATCACATCTCTTTAAACACTGGAACTAGTGCTGCATCCCTCTGTTCACCTCTGGTTGAAACACTGCGTTGAGCGCATGACCTATACATCACCTCCGGTGCAGTAAGTTGTATGTTGGGTGTTCCAGTTGGCCTCAACTGCTGTTGCTCTAGGAGGGCAGGGATTCCCACATGTACTGTATTATACCTGACAGTCCCATAGGGATAGATGTTTTCAATTCCCTAATGCAGCTCAAACAGTACTAAACACCTATATCTAGACTCTATTCAGTTGCCAACCAGTCTTGTTTCTAAGGATGGGTATTTGGCAGAAGAGCTCACTTATGAGCACAGATACTGTACAAATGCACAGCCTGTTTATAACTGAGAGAACTGCATGTACAAGAAAGTATACATTAGCAGGAAATGAACATGGACACCTGAATACAGGTGTGGTGAGTCCACTGATTCTTTGCATCTAAACATTTGAAGGTGGTGAGAGGTTTTTTCTTCCTAAGAGACAGACAATGTTTTTTAAGATCCTAAAACTTACAGAAGTTCAAACTTTACATTATTTTAGATTTTAATTTTAGAAAGCATAGAATAGATGCACATTTCTTTTACATAATATTGTTGCTGCACTTGGTGTATTACATGGCTTATATTTTCCACAAAGCTCTTTGAGAACCAGTGCTTTGGCACACTGTGCTTCTCTGGACCTAGTTCTTTGAACTCCCTCTCTTTACATCTCATGCCTAGAAGACAGCAAAGTCCCTGTTCTGCACAAAGCTTTCTGAATGAGCATTTACACAAAAAGCAGAGGTGAAGTTTCAGGGAGAAGCACGACCACTTCTAATAACTTATTGTACTACAACAGGCCTATCAGTCTCACTTCAGTGTCTGGTATAATCATGGAGAAGGTTATTCTGGCAATTATTGAAAACCACTTGAGAAACAATGCAGTCATTGGTCATAGGCAGTACGGGTTCACAAGGGAAAGTCCTATTTAACTAACTAATTTCCTTTTATAACAAGTTCACCCATCTAGTTGACCAAGGGAAGTCAGTATATGTGTTGTTTTTTTTTTATTTTAGCAAAGCTTTTGATACTGTCTCTCACACTATTCTGGACAAAATGTCCAGTGCACAGCTACACAAGTCCATAATACAATGAGTGAGCAATTGGCTGATGGGCTGGACTCAAAGGGTTATAGTAATGGAGTTACATCGGTCTGGCGGCCAGTCACTAGTGGGGTTCCATAGGGCTCAATTTTAGGGCCAGTGCTCTTTAATGTTTTTGTAAATGATCTGGATGCAGGAGTTGAATGTACGGTAAGTTTGGTGATGATACTAAATTAAGAGGAGCTGTGGACTTCCTTGGAGGCAGAGTGCGATCTGGATAGACAAGAGAGCTGGGCAGTTACTAACTGTAAGAAATTTAACATGAGCAAGTGGTGGATTCTGCACCTGGGACAGGGCAATCCTGGTTATACATACAAACTGAGGAATGAGCCCCACAGAAAGAGATCTGGAGGTCTGGGTTGACAGCAAGTTGAATATGAGTCTGGTGGGCCCTGGCAGCCAACAATGTCCTGGGGTGCATCAAGCTAGTCAGTCTAGGGAGGTGATTGTCCCACTCTGCACGGCACTGGTGCAGCCCCACCTCAAGTAGTGTGTGCTGTTTTGGGTGTCTCAATATAAGAAGGACATCAAACTATGAGAGCATGTCCAGAGGAGGGTCACCAAGATGGTGAAAGGTCTCCAGGACTTACAAGGAACAGATGAGGTCACTTGGTTTGTTCAGCTTGGAGAAAGGAAGGCTGAGGGGTGCCCTCATTGCAGCCTACACCTTCCTCAAGGGGGGCAGTGGAGCGGAGTTGCTGATCTCCTCTCTCTGGTGACCAGTGATAGGACACGAGGAAACAGAATGAAGCTGCATCAGGGGAAGTTCAGGTTGGACATTAGAAAAATGTTCTTCACTGAGAGGGTGGTCAGTCACTGGGACAGTCTCCCCAGGGAAGTGTTCAAGGCACCAAGCCTGTCAGAGCTCAGGGAGCATCTGGACAACACACTCAGTCATATGGTTCAGTTTCAGGTATCCTGCGAGGAGCAGGGAGTTGGACACGATGATCCTTATGGGTCCCTTCCAATGGAAGATATTCTGTGATTATGATCCTATTAACAGAATAAAATTCTGTTCTGAAAAGTGATCCTGTATATTATGTCTTACAGGATACCAGAGTTATGGCAATTCACCATACAGTTCAAATGCCTCCAGTTTGAAACAGAAAAACAAATAACCTCCATACCCTACTACTTTTATCTAAGTTATCTAAACCACAGACCTGAAAGCATTTTTCTTCATGAACAGTTACCAAAGATTTTTAAACTGTGGTACTGTTATCTTTGTTCTAAAATATAGGGATATAATTATCTTGTAGCTTCAGTAATGCTTGTGCCATTTCAAGTAATGCTTGAAAATTTGTACATAACTAACTGAAGTAATACACAATGTTAAAGATAACAAAGAAATTAAATGGATTTTATTCTTCTTAGTTATATAGCCTCATCAATACTCAAAGTAGTAGTGGTCTTTTTTTGATAACAACATTAAGTTCAACAACCCTTTGCAGAAAGCAAGTTTTCCAGGTAGAACCCCATTTTCACTGAAGAAAAAATATTTTTAAAAAATTGGTAATTGCGTAAAATGCTTGTAGTCTAATGCTTGCTTAGGTGGCCTTGAGAGGGAAAACTCATATACTGCTAAGAAAATAAAGTATTTTCTCAAGCTTTGAAAAAAAAATCATAAATTTTTGTAACACCTGTGCTAATTCTTCACAACCTGCTCCATTAAGAAAGTCTCTAGTGCCTCTTCCAAGAATTGTCAACTTTTTTTTGTCATATCTTACAACAAAACAATATGACACAAATGTTCAGCCATTGGAAAGAAGTAGAAGAAATGTAGTCAGTTGAAAGGAAAGGAAATGCATCATTTGGCTTGTACAAGAAAGCCCATTGAAAGATCATTACACACAGTTTCCTGTGGACTTGAAGGGACAAAAATATTTTTCAGCAATTTTATCTACAACATGATGGAAGGAAATAAACCCCATTTAGTAAACAGTATTTACTGGAGAGGTGGTCAGATCCAGATTAAGACACCTGAATTCAGGTGTCTAACCACCAGCATAGCCAACAGATACCTACTCAACAGAAATGGAAAGCAACTCTGCCGCCTAGGCACGATGTGTCTACCCAGTCTCTTCCTCCAGGATCGTTGGCTGGAGCAGGAAGGACTCTAATTCAGTTGCACACATGCAGGTGGCTTGTGCCTTTGGAGATGCTCAAAACATTGGGATAAGACACATTTGGTACTCAAAATATTTGGGTAAGGCACAGTAGATACAACATAGAACACAGAGTAGACCCATACCCTTCTGAAATGGCAGCTGGAGGCCACTCATACTGTGGCATCTCCAGTAACTGTAAGGGGGCATTAGACTGCTAACACATATGCAGACACATACATTTAAACACCAAATCTGAAGATTAATACCATTAAGTGCATGGCTTTAGATAAATGCTTTCCTTCTCAACAACTTTTAAAAACAGTATGACATAGGAAGGGATTTTAGAAAAGTTTTACCCTGAAGAAAGCAATATCTGGGAAGTGATGAAATAGTTGTTCTGTCCCTAAAGGATTTTTGGAATGAAGTAGCATTAAATGCCTTCATCTAATTTCTTAAACAAGAGTCTAACTCTCTCACTTTTCAGTTCTCATCTTTCTCTTCTACTCAAGAAATAAAGGAATGGCAAACAGACTCAGAAACCAGCGGATATATTTTTATTCTCCCTGCAAATACTAATAACATGAAAAAGGGAAAAAAAAAGAGCAGTACAATATATAAGGCAGATGACATGCCAAAAAGGGATGATAGAAAAGAAAAAAAGATAATTTTAAAATGAAGAGTACTGCAAAATAAGGAAAATAGAGATGATCAAAACAGGAAGGAAAAAAGAATGTGCCTGAATAGTGCTTAGCACATTCTGGTGTTTATCAATTATAAAAATAAATATCGGTTAATAACAGAAGTCTTCAATTATTATTGAAGAGGTGTTATATTCCGTAGGTCTACTGGTGTAACTACATAGAGTCTGGCTGTCTCTGGAAGTTAGATATGATGATATGTTCTGTATTTGGAAGTAATAAATCCATCAACAATGCTTTGGTAAACAAGACTGTATACACCACACAGAAACAGATAAAATTCTCCGGACCCACCTTTCCTGCAGCTTCCAGCTCTTTTTTATCTTTCTTAGCATGCCCAGCCAACATCTTCATTTCAATCATTCCTGCCACTGCAATGATTGGCACAACAGCTAAAAGTAGCAGGGTCAGCTGCCAGCCATAAATTAACGATATAATAAGTCCAGTCCCCAGGTTAGCTAAATTTTGGGCAATTAATGCCAATCTGACGCCAGTTGCCTGGAGAAAGAAAAAAGACATTTCTTGCTAAAGTAACTGCATCTTAAATAAGGAAAGCAGTTTTATCTATAATATCCCTGATTCTCAAAACACTATTTAGAAAGTCTTAACTCAGCTTTGCTATTTTTCAAAATGGGAGTTTATTAAACAATTTTGTAAACAATTATCTTGATCTCATTTAATTCTTTCCCCCCCCCATATTCTGGGTACTTAAATTTGCATAGCAATTTCAAAATTCTGCTCTTGAAGCTTTAACCATATCACATGTTCATATTTACAGCTAAACATTAATATCTGTCACATGTTGTAGATCATGCAGCTAGATTTGTAAGTCACCACACAGAGCCCAATGAAGACAAAAATTAAATGTTTAACTTCTGCTATGGAAATAAAGCCAAAGGTACTACAGAACTCCTCAGTTCATAAAAAAAGCACATAAGTTCATGTAGCAGTAAAATTTTACTGAAGCATACAGGAATAATTATATTCAATGCTCTTTAGCGAAACATTACAGGACCCTGAAACTCCACATATCGCTTCTAAAGAATCTCCAAAAAGTAACAAGGAAATGGAAGTCTATTGCTACTATGTCTAATTTTTTTCATATAAGGAATCGGTACAAACAAAAAAGAAGTAGGAGGTCATAAACTGAACAGATTTAGATGCGTATCTTTAGGTAAATAAGATACCTGTGAACAGACTTCTTAAATAAATCGATTCCAAATGAATTTGTTTAATCATGAAGATCACAATACAGCATAATAGCAAACTTAAAAAAAGGTTTACTTGGAAATTATTTTGTAAACATATACTAACATCATTGTTATAAAACACATCAGTCATTCTATACCAGCTATCGTTTTATAGCAAATTTTAGTTGTCAAAGTCAAGACTGTTATCCAACCAGTCAAATCCAAGCTGCAACTTTACCACATATTAAACCAATCATGAAAAATTCTAAACCAAAATTTTACTTACACCTTTCACTTGTGAGGCATCATTAGCAAGTCTTGTAGTTAATGCTCCAGTGCTATTTTTAGAATTATCAAACCAGGTCATGTCCTACAACAAGAAACATTTGTCTTAGGACCAGTTTTTAGACATTTCATATAAACCACAAAGTAAAACTGAGGTCTACCTCATATAACTGTGTCAAAAAGCATCAAAAGACTGTGAACGTGGCAGTGCATCTGTTCTGCATATTTAATTAAGTCTAATTCCTTCATCGCACTATGAATATTTTTAGAAAAAGTATATGCTTGCGGATGATCTGACATGTACACGGTCTCTGCTGAGAAGGAAGGGAGCAGCCTAGGGGATTCCCAAAACCAACCCCCCCACACACTTCTGAAACTGCCTCTCCTTGGAGGAGATGACTTCAGTCACACTCCTTCACAATCACAAAGATGTTTGGGGATGAACTAAGTATAAGGCATTTTCAAGATAAAAACTTCCAATTCATTGTTTTATTTCTCCCCAGATGGAAGAGGCTTATTTGGAAACTATGAGAGAAAAATCAAACAAAACCAAACCAAACTGTTGTATCTGATCAAAGTGAATTGTCAGGATCAGGTACACAGTTTATTATTTATTCACCATGTGGACAAATATCTGATGTAAACTTTCATGTGTACTATGCATCGAATGAAGATCTGGTGATGTAGTACGGACATTTGTGACCTCCAGACTCAATTCTAAGACTGCTCTTTCATTAGGTTTTCAGTGAAGCTGATCTATAAATCAGTTTTTCAGACTACAACAACTTTCTGTCTGCATGGCAAACAGTCATGTTCACTTGAATCAAATTTTGTGTCTACATGTAGTTTTATGTGTGAGGCATAAACCTTAGAAATACTATATTGTATATTTGAAAATCTAAAATACTGATCCTGAAATCATGCAAGATCAAGGCCAATTTAGATAAATGTATGAATTACTTTAAAACATTATGAAATATTTATATTTTAATTCTCTGAAAGTGGCTTTAGATTTAAGTATACAACCTCATTATCAAATTAACGAACACTGTATAGAGTTGGGAACTCTTTGAAAGAAACCTTTGATAAATAAATAAAAACATATCTATACATATTACAATTTAAATCAGACATTTGATGTAAGTGTTACAATGTAAGTTGCATTGCATTGCATTTCTTTAGGGGAGAAAGGGCACCAAGAAACAAAGCAGGCAAACCAACACATAATGGGATATCACTGATGCACATCAACTTGTCAGGCCATAGTAACTTGGCTGTAGATGTAAGACCCTGCAATGAGTACATGAAAAGCTCTTGTGCTTGTATTGATTTAAGACTTTCCCTCTAAGGACACTTTGGTTAACCACATGTAACTACCCAAATTGGTTTCTAGACTGATTTAAAGAATCTTCTCTGTAGACAAGTCAGAATATGATAGACTAATGTAGAACACAGGCATTTTATGATATCTATACAATTAATTATTTTTAAAACCTTGGAAATCAAAATGTTTACTATCTTTACCTGTCTAAGCATTGCTTTAAATGCCATGAATCGAAGCCTCATTGTAAGAATTTCTCCTGCTTTGCCAAATGCAAAACCCTGTTTGAGAAAAGGTACAATGCTTAGCATATTATTACATTGTTTGTGTTTATTAAATACATATTTTAGGTACATTGTGTCTACAATGTCTACAAAATACTGCAGTCCTGATTGCACAAAATAAATGTAAATCCTTCTTTAATATTCATAAATTCTAGTAGGTTCACAGTATAGACATTCAAATATTATTTCTCAAAAAAATATAGAGAGCATAGCAATATTTCCCAGCACTGCTTCACCAGCGTGCTTCAAGGAAAAGATCACTAATCAACCCTTTGACTTAATTCTTATCTGAGTTGACCTAAGTCAGATTTAAACAAGTGTCTCTCGGGCTATTTGTTTTAGGTTAAAGACTTCATAAGGCAATCTGGGTTCATTGAAGTCAAACAGAAATTGTCTTCAATGGAATTCAGATTTCTTCCTTGGGATCCTATCACAACCTGACATAGCTACCAGCAGTAATACATAGGTGATGTTTCATGTATTTAATGCATTTTTAGCCAGATATATGGACCAATTTAAGATACAAAAAGGAATATTCTGATTAAAATTTTGAGAAGAGACACTCTTCCTACATTTTATTATAACATCAGTGTTTGTAATTAGCTTTCTTTAGCTCTGTATCACCTTTGTGTGATAACAAATAGTAGTTGTTTGGAATCTACATTTATGAAATTGAATACTTTTAAAATACAAACCACAGATGCAACTATACTTTATGATACTAAGAAAAATTATGAGGGCATATTCCGATCAGCAAGTATTTCTCAGTTAACTTTGATCATTATCTTTGCCATGCTCCTATAGTGTCAGTAAATTTGCACAAGTATGTGACTCAGAAAAAATCACAAAAGAACATCAGAAAATGAGCACTATATAAACAGATTATAAGAATGTGTTAAGTTTTTTTCATTCTAACTAATTTGGGTGTGTTACAGCTCAATGAACTCTTCCCACTCATATTTAAAACATCATATACACATTTATAGATTGAGAAAACCTGTCATCCCCATGTACAACTCAGCCTTGTATACTCAAGGCCTTCTTGCATGCATGTGCAACAGGACAATTCCATAAACAAACCAGGAGGTTTTTGCAAGAGATTGTTTATGCGGCTGTCCCAAGTGCACTTTATTATTTCACTGTGTAGGCTCATTCAATGGATAAAGCTATACAAACATACTCAGAAATTATACACCAGACTACATACGAAAACATCTAAATGCCAAAGTTTGCAGCTGTATCACAGAATCACAGAATCACAGAATGTTTGGGGTTGGAAGGGACCTCGAAAGATCATCTAGTCCAACCCCCCTTGACAGAGCAGGACGACCTAGAGTAGGTCACACAAGAATGCGTCCAGGCGGTTTTTGAATGTCTCCACAGAAGAAGACTTCACAACCTCTCTGGGCAGCCTGTTCCAGGGCTCTGTCACCCTCACAGGGAAAAAGTTTCTCCTTATGTTAGTGTGGAACATCCTATACTCCAGCTTGCACCCGTTGCCCCT